TGGTGCATTGTTTTCAATAAAGGTAGTGATAGAGGGTGTTCTGTTATTTGTCTGGTCTTCCGTAAACACTACATTAGAAACTTTTAACATGGCTGGGCCTCAGTATTCTTGGAATACCATCTTACAAGCATTTCTTGCCTTTAACTGAAATTATTTGATTTCCCCATTGCCAATTTTGTTAAATACATTGCGTGGTAAGAGTGAAGGGACGAAGGCAGGTAATCAAGCCAAATCTCCTGCCTTGCACATTTCCTGGAGCCTTAGGCTGAACATTTTCCAATCGCCCTTCCTATTTTATTCTGTTACATGTTTTTCAGAGTATGCATTTTGACACTTAGCCCCAAAGTGTGCAGGCAGAGAGGAATGTTTGGTTTATTATATTAGTTCATGATTGTCTTTGCAAAAATGCACTTTAATATGGTTTTCTTTCCCTTCTCACTCTTTTATTCGTGTAGTGACAATTTGTTAGCTGCCTACCATATTGCCAAGCAATGGACTGGGTATTTCATGGGCTCATACTGACCGTTTACTGTGGTATACATCAAATACTCACAGTTGCCTCTACTTTGCACATGGAAGACTAGAGTGAAGTGATTTGCCCCTGGTTGCAGAACTAGTGAGTCATAAACCTGAGATTCCAGCCCAGGCTTCTCAAGAGTCCAGGCCCTTTCTTTCCACTATGCCACATGGAGTTTCGTTCCACTATGCCATGTGGAGTTTCTTTCCACTATGCCACGTGGAGTTTCGTTCCACTATGCCATGTGGAGTTTCTTTCCACTATGCCACGTGGAGTTTCTTTCCACTATGCCACGTGGAGTTTCCACTATGCCACATGGAATTTCTTTCCACTGCCATGTAGAATTTCTTTCCACTATGCCACGTGGAGTTTCATTCCACTATGCCACCTGGAGTTTATTTCCACTATGTCACATGGAGTTTCTTTCCACTATGCCACATGGAGTTTTGTTCCACTATGCCACGTGGAGTTTCTTTCCACTATGCCACGTAGAGTTTATTTCCACTATGCCATGTGGAGTTTCTTTCCGCTATGCCACCTGGAGTTTCTTTCCGCTATGCCAAGTGGAGTTTCTTTCCACTATGCTACGTGGCACCTTCTCCCATTTTTCTTCTCTGTCCGTTTGCACCATTTCCTACCTCCCCTGGCTCCAGCACTCCTCAGCTCCTTTGTGTTCCTATTATGCAGCTCTGGGAGCTTCAATAGTCCATTTTCTAATCATTTCATCAACCTACTGCCTTGATGAATGCAGGGTAGTAGAAAATACAAGATTAACGTGTTATGAGCTGCTTCTATGTAGGAAGCCTAACTTAGACTTTCTGCTGTCATCTAAATAGCTGTTTCTTTCTTTGGAGTGTGCATTTCTTATAGAATGGCAGTATTTGTTGTTTAATTAATGAGACACCAGGAATAGATGAATAATGAATATTGTTGCCTTCCCAAAATGCAGAATAATTTTGGTCAAATTAATTTGAAAATATAATATTTGAGAGGATCTTAAACCACTTTTTTAAGTTCAGAGTTTCTCTGAGACTTCAGTATGCAAACATGCCCCCAAAACCTTACAGGACAGAGATATCATGTAAAATCTTTTCCAATATAGATCTTTGAAATGAGTTTCAATAAAACAATTAATATGATGCATTTGATGATCATGTTTAGGGAAAAAATAATGAAAATGAAGTTAAATTATATTAACCTTTTATGGCTTATAATGCCTGAATACTGAGCCATTCCAAACAGCTTGGGTTGTTTGGTCCAGAGAGCTAGGGCTAAAAATTGGCAAGTACTTTTTAATATTAGTGAAAAACACCACCCCAATGTTCGAATAAATAGCCAAAACACTTGAACAGATAATTCATGAAAGAAGAAATACAAATGGCCGTGACCATGTAAAGAAATAGTTAGGTAGCTTTTCCTGGACATAAAGATGCCAACTAAAAACTGTTCTAATATATTATTGGAAGTAAAATGGAAATATATTATTTAATATTATTCATAATTTATTGACTTACAGTTACTTCCTTAGGTCCCAAAGGATATTCTCTCACAGATCTTGCAATCCAGGAGGGGATATGATCCGTTAGTAAACATATGTGTGTTTAACATATTGGCTAGTAATCATTGCTGGGAGGAAATTAGAACAGTAAGGGAATGCGAAAGTGAAGAAGTGTGGGGGACAGAGGCTCTTGGACAAGTGGCCCTAGGAAGTAGCTGTAAAGGAACATGCCATTACAAGACACCCTTGAGGACACCAGGATGGTCCAGAGAGTTGGAACAGAAGGGACAGCATCAGAGGGAGCCACGTGTATGAGGGACAGAAGATCTGTGGCCAGAATTGAGGGTGCTAGAGGTGGGTGGAAGTGCGATGATCAGAGAAAGGGCTGGGAGCAGAAGGTTGGAGCCACAGGGACACTTGGAAATCAAGGGAAAGAGGGAAGCTTTCATTCTGGCGATCACGGCAGATGTTGACTGAGAGAGGGAGGCAATGAAATGTGTCTCTTAAAAATCCCTCTGGCTATTCTGTGAAAAATTAACTCTGCAAATGATTTTGATGAAGGGCTGTGGTTTTGATAAACTAGAACCAACTAAACCTGTTAAGAGACCACTAGAGCAACCTGAGCAAGACAGGGTGGTTCTAGAATAAGGGATTAGAAGAAGGGCTGGTGAGAACGGTCAGATGTGATTCATCAGGAAGAAAAGTGGCGGCAGAACTCGCTGAATGATCTGACAAGTACGGCAAGAGAGAGAAACCAAGAATTTCCTTATTTGGGGCTAAGTAGGTGGTTAATAAGTCAGTGAGGCAGAGGCACTGGAGCACCTCAGAAAAATGTATTAAGCACCCTAATAATTTTATATGATTTGGTATAATAGTAATTCCAGTGATGGAAATGCTTTAAATGGGGTAAAGGGAAATGTTGCCTAGATTTATGTATAATAGTGTTATTTATAACAGTGACATGTAAAAATCAACGTGTAAAAATAAAATGGCTAAATGAATTGGTATATAAATGTAATGGAATGTGGCATAGTCATTTAGGTACTGCCTAGTGACACGGGAAAGAGAATATTGATGATTAACTACTAAGTAAAAGTGAGGATATAAAACTATAGGCATGTTATGTTCTCAATTTATTTTCAATAAATGCACTTATTTAATGAACATGCATTGAATGCTTATAGCATGTCTCTGAACACATAAAAAGTAAACTCATTGAAATATTAATGGTATTTACCTTTGACTGGAGAGATTATAAATTTATTTTATTTCAGTTTTACTATCTTTAAAATTTTAGATAACTGTATTAATGTAATAATTTTAAAAGCTTTAAAAAAGCAGTATTTCTATTATAGCAAAGTATTTAAACTGATAACTTTTCCAAATTTTCCATAAATTATATATGAAATACACTATTTCCTCATCTGGATGTTTTAAAATTATGAGGCATTCGTGCCTTCTTAAAAATCTGTGAGCTGCTCCTCAGCAGTATCTTCCAAAGTGTCACATCGGCCTCTCTGATCACAGCAGCCTATGTTTCCAGTTCATATCTTAAAGCTCAAAGTTACCTCCTCATCATACTCTTTGGGGGTGCGTACACAGGAAAACGAAGCTACTGAGGTATGAGAACCCAGTGAGAAAATAAGAACCATTTCCAACACAAATCTCAACATAAAGAACTTTTCTCACACAATGACAAGGACTACACATTAGAATGTAGTGAGTGCAGCACCTAGACAAGAGTCTAGGTTGGCCGCTAACCAAAGACCATTCTCATTGGTTACTCAACAAATTCCCTAGAATAGAGTGAGCTATGGGCAAGTGGAAATGATGAAGTTGGAGAGAGTTGGGTCCAGGTGAAGTGGATACTTGTAAACCTCTGGCATCACAATGTAATTCCGTGCTGTTAGAATAAAAGCTTGCAAAATACTAATGGCATATTTTCTGATCTAAGTATCTATCTATCTATCTATCTATCTATCTATCTGTCTGTCTGTCTGTCTGTCTGTCTATCTATCTATCTATCTATCTATCTATATCTATATGTAGATATATAGATATACACATACATGTCTATAAAGGTGAGTACCACAGAAAAAAGGACTATCCTTTCCCTAGTGGGAGAGCAGGATGTAAAGGATAGTTCTTACCTTATCAATCAATATCTATATAGATATATACATGGGGGTGTATATATATATAGATATATATATATATGAGGGTAGTCCTCACTTTTTTCTACTAGCACATGAATACAACAGCACTCCATTTGCTAGGAGAGAGAAAAACCATCTATAATTCATAAGCATAAAACATCCACTTATAGGGCTTATTTTCTAGTTTTCCTTTCATGTTAGATGCATTTATTTAGACTTTTTTTAGAGCGGTTTGAGGTTCACAGCAAAATTTGAGCGAAAGCTAGAGATTTCACATATACTCCCTGACCCCACACACGCATAGCCTCCTCTGTTTCCAGCATCCCTACCAAAGCGGTCCATTTGTTACAACTGATGAACCTACTATGACCTATCGTTATCACCCCAAGTTCACAGGTAACATTAGGGTTCATTCTTGGTGGTGTACATTCTATGGCTTTGGACAAATGCAATGACATGGATCCACTTGTACAGAAACTTGCAGAGCACTTTTACTGTCCTAACGGCCCTCTGTGCTCTGTCCATTGATCACCACCTGATCCATTTCCTGACAATTACCAAACAATCTTTCCATTGTCTCAATAGTTTTATCTTTTCCAGAATGCCATCTACTTGGAATCATACAAGGTTTAGACTTTTCACATTGGCTTTTTTTCACTTGGTTATATGCATTTAAGTCTTCTCCATGTCTTTTCATGACTTGATAGTTCATTTTTATATAGCTGTAAATGATATTCCAATGTCTGGATGTACCACAGTTTATTCATTCAGCTACTAATGGATATCTTGGTTGCTTCTAAGTGTTGGCAGTTATTAAAAAAAGCTGATACAGACATCTGTGTGTAGGTGTGTGTGGATGTAATTTTTCAACTCCTTTGGGTAAATACCAAAGGGCATGATTGCTGGGTCATAGGGTAACAGTAGATTTATTTTGTAAGAGGTTACCAGGCTGGCTTGGTGGCTCATGCCTGTAGTCCAGCACTTTGGGAAGATAAAGAAACAGGATTGCTTGAGCCAAGGAATTAGAAACCAGCCTGGGCAACATGGTGAGACTCAGTTTCTACAAAAGAAAAAATAAATTACAAAGGAAGAAATAGGTGAGCATGGTGGTGCACACCTGTGTTCCCAGCTACTTGGGGAGGCTGAGACAGGAAAGCCCAGGAGGTTTAGCCTTCAGTGAACCATGTTAGTGCCACTGCACTCCAGCCTGGGCAACAGGGCAAGACTGTGTCAAGAAAGAAAGAAAGAGAGAAAGAGAGAAAGAGAGAAAGAAGGAAGGAAGGAAGGAAGGAAGGAAAGAAGGAAAGAAGGAAGGAAGGAAGGAAGGAAGGAAGGAAGGAAGGAAGGAAGGAAGGAAGGGAGGGAAGGGAGGGAAGGGAAGGAAGGAAGGAAGGAAAGAAAGAAAAGAAAGAAAAAAAGAAAAGAAAAGAAAGAAAGAAAGAAAAGAAATTGCCAAACTGTCTTCCAAAGTGGCTGTACCACTTTGCATTCCCAGGAACGATAAAAGAGAGTGTCTGGTCCATTGGTTCACATCCTCACAAGCATTTGTTGCCATCAGTGTTCTACATCTTGGCCACTTTAATAGGTATGTAGTGTTGAAGGAGACTAAAGAGAACGGACCTCTAATGCAATAGGTGATCCCGAAGTACATCCTAAGCCTTGGAAAAAAGTGCTATCAAGGGCGTACTTGGAAAAATTAATGAAATTTGAATATTAACTGTGGTTTAAGTAATTCAACATGTTATTGTTGAATTTTTTGGTTTTGGTAACTATTGTGTAAAGGAATATCCTTGTTCTTATAAAATACATACTAAAATATTTAGGGATAAAGAAGCATGATACCTGCAACCTTTCCAGTGGTTCAAAAATTGTGTGCGGGAAGTGTGCGAGAGAGAGAGAGAGTTTGGGGGTGATAAAAAAGAGGAGGAGGAGAGAGAGCATGAACAGAAATAGAGAACAGTATAAACAGCAGGTGAGTTTGGATGTCTTAGTCTGTTTGGCCTGTTAAAACACCATAAACCGGGTGGCCTATAAACACCAGAACCCTATTTCTCACAGTTCTGAAGGCTGAGAAATCCAAGATCAAGGCGGCAGATCTGATGTTTAGTGAGAGCCTGCTTCCTGGTTTTCAGAGTTGGCTGTCTTCTCACTGTATCCTTACCTGGCAGAAAGGGCAAGAGAGCTTTTTAGGGTCTCTTTTATGAAGGCACCAATTCCAATCCTGAGAGATTCAACCTCATGACTTGACAATCTTCCAAAGGCCCCACCTTCCAACATCATAATGCTGGAAGTTGAAATATTAGCATATAAATTTGGGGTAGTATCTCCATATATGTAAACACGGAGTCCATTGTATTAGATAAAGGGCATTGTGTTAGTTTCTTACGGTTGTCGTAATAGAGTACCACACGCTGGTGGTTTCAAGCAACAGAAATGGGTTCTCTCATAGTTTTGGAGACTAGCAGTCCGAAATCAAGGTGTCAGAAGTACTGTGATGCCTCCAAAACCTCTAGCGGGACACCCTCTCTCACATCTCCAAGCTCCTGATAGCCCCAGGTGTTCCCCGGCTTGTGACAGCTTCACCCCAGTGTCTGCCTCCATCCTTACGTGGCTGCTTTCCCGTGTGTGTGTCCATTTTCAAAATTCTCTCTTCTTACAAGAATACCAGTTGGACTGGATTAAGGCCGTTCCTACTCCAGCCTGACTTAACTACTTACGTCCATAGTCACCCTATTTCCAAATAAAGCCACATTCACAGGAGGTAAGGCTTAGATATATCTTTTTAGAGGAAATGCAGTTCAGACCGTAACAGGTACATAGGAGTGCTTTGCATTACTCTTGCAACTTTCTGTAAATTTGAAATGATATTTTAAAAAGTTGCCAAAATATGTTAGCATGTAAAAAAGTGGTCTTTGTTTACTAAAATGCCATTAGATAGATAATTATCTTTTAAAATGTTACCATTCCCGCCTGGATGACATAAAAATCCTGTCTCTAGTAAAAAATAGAAACATTAGCTGCGTGTAGCGTGAGCATCTGTAATCCCAGCCCTCAGGAGTCTGTAGCAGGCAAATCTCTTGAACCCGGGAGGCAGAGGTTTCAGTAACCAGAGATGGTGCCACTGCACTCCAGCCTGGGTGACAGAGTGAGACTCAGTCTCAAAAAAACCAAAATAAATAAATAAATAATAATAAAATAGAAGTGATTATTAATGTGTTAGATAACTATTACTAAATGAAATAATTGACAAGTATATTCTTTGAGGTTAAATCGTTACATAACATAAACCAATAAATTCTTTCTTTTTTTTAACAGGAAATGTACACCTCTTGGTTCATATGCCATATGGCTTGTGGTAAATTAAATTTCCATTTGTGGGGAATGATATATTTGAGTTTCATGTGGGGAATGATATATTTGAGTTTCATCTCCAACACTCCAGAAAATAGCTGAGGACAAATTGGAAGTTAAGCCATCTTCCAGTTTCAATAATTGGAGAGGAAATTTGCTCAAGGCTCCCAGTAGGAACTATGCAGTCTTCAGCTGCAGAAAGTATTTGATGGTTGCTGTTGATTTTGCACATATAACTTTAATTAATTTCATTTCCCTGATGAAAATCAATTATAATAAGATTGATTGATTTTTTTGAGCCAAACTGAAAGGCATGCCTCACACTCTATGTTGTACAAGCACAACATTTTTGTGGAGCTGTATAAAGCTTTTCTTAATTTGGAATTACTTCTTCCAGTAAGACAAAAACTAAAAAGTACTGTCAGTATGACAAATTTGACATCTAGTGATTAGATGTAGGAATATATATTATGAAGATATTGGATGTGTGTGCACACACATGTACACAGACCCTAGGGCTTGGGCTGTTAGTGGGCACCAAATATCAAGATGTTCTCTTGCATCCTGAGAAATTATGTATGTTTGTAATTCATTCTCGCTTTCAATATCATTTTCACACACCCACTTTCTAATCCATATGTTCTTATAAAGTTCAGCATTCAGTCACTTAAAAATATTACTTAAGATTTAGAAACTGTAGCGTGATGGCTGACGCTGTTGTTCCTGTATTACGAAGTAAGTTTAGGCTTGGATATTTGTTTTATGTGTGAAATTCTTCTCCAAAACCCTTAACTCCCCCTGCTTCTCATCTTCTGAAATAAAACAAACATGTACAAAGATACTCATCAATATATGAAATGATCACCAATATTTATGTTAGGTATGGTTCCTCATTCTGTAAGAAAGTATTGAGCCATTTAGTCAAGGAATCAATCAATATGAGCAGTGATCCAGGATCATTTTTCTCTCACTTTTTTATTCATAGCTGAAAAATTATGTACTGGAGTTTTCAGAGGAATGAAACTTGAAATGTAAAAAGAACATTTTTTAAAAGATATGTTAAAATATCAAGTTTGTATTTTGGAAGAGAATAATTATATTGTAGAACACATAGATTTTTAAGTCCTCATATAAATGGGCAATGTCAAAAGAAATAATTTTATTGAAAATGATGCTTTTCATTTCACAAAATTTAGTAAATAGATTTGCTATGCCTGAGTGGTTCAAAATGGAGTGGTTTTTTTTTCTTTTCTTTTTTTAATGAGAGCTAATATAATACCTTATAAATGCTACTGATTCCTAACCTCACGTGTCATCTCACCTTTGGTATGCTGAAAACTAGATTTTCTGAGGTTCTCTGACATTTTGACACAGTCTCATCAGCTCCTTATTTCCAGTGGGACCCATTACCAACTAAAATTGCGCATTTACTTCTGAGTTAGTTGGACTGATGATAAAAATCAGCTGTGAATCTTCTCAGTGGGGTACACAGTCATCTTAACGTACAGTAAAAGTAAGGAACCTTGAAATGAAATTAATTTATGCAAAAGGGAAGAATTACGGTGTTTGCACATAAGCAAGTGTGAGATAGTAATCAAGTTTTCTAGGGCTCTTTGGATTATTTACAGCACATCACCTTAGCTTTGTCCTCTATCAAGCTTTCTTCCAGTGCAAAAATGGGTTTAGAATCCCCAAGTCTTAGGGGTAGGTTTTTCCTATAGAACTTCCATGAATTGTTATAACTTGAGAAACAATAAAGCCTTCACTTGCCAAAATATTTTACTCTAGCCTGCTAAGGAATCTACATGCCCAGCTTCGAATAATCCACTTTGTGTCAAGGCATTATCTCCAAATGCAAGTATTTTCCACAATTGAGGGAAATGTTGTGGCCAGTTTTCCTAAGGACGCTTATCTTTTTCATGATGGGGCCTGGGAAGAGTCAGATTTTATTCCTGGAGGCAAGACAGAGGACTCTGCACGTAGCACGATTTGGGAGGTTGTGAGCATCCGGAATAAAGCATGGGAACTAAGGCATCGATCACATAGAGAGGTGGATACAGAGAGATACCACTGGCCTATGCTAGAAGTTTCCAGAGCTGTTAGCACCATTCCACAAGCTCCAGACCTTTCGACCTTGGTCCACACCTCCTTGGTATAGTTAGCTAGTTAATGAGTGGTGACGTATGCTTCACTTAAGCACAGTAAGCATTTGTATTATTTCCTATATTCCTTAATGGAATATTATGCTAAGGGTGTTTGTCTCTCACGCATGTATTCTTATCTGTAGCACTCCAGTAAAACTGCTTCAAATAGGCACTTACCATGCCCTCCTGAGTTTTAATACCAGGAAAACTGGATCTTTTCAACAAGATCACACTAGCCATTTTGCTGGCTGCACTGCAGCTTATTATCCAAAGCCTGATATAGACGTATCCTTGCACCCAGTAATATATCATCAGTATTTTTTATACTTTACCAGAATTAACCTATTTTATCTTCACAGCAGCTCTCTGGGAGAATTACAGTCAGAGAGGGCAAGTAGTTTGTCCAAGGTTACATGACTGATAAGTTTTGAGCAGAGATTTGAACTGGTTTTGTGTCCTTAAACGTTCGGCTCTGCTGCCCCTGGTGGAGAACTGTGGGTGTATGCCTTGAGAGTGTCACCGACACAGGCCATGTGGGTTAATATATTTGTTAAATGCAATAGCTCAGATAGGGCGTGTGTACTTAGAACTCTGCATGCCAAGTACCATGAGTCTCATGCATGTAGTCTTCCCCAGTCGTGCTTATAATTAGCAAAGCTTGCTTTTACCTGTGAGGAAACTGGGGCATAGCAACCTTAAGAATAGGTCATAAAGTTCTTGAGGAGAGGCCCCAGGATTGAATCACAGACCATTAACTCTGTATTACTGTGCAATACTCACTTTCTCATAGAAACGCACCAGTAAAAACAGAGGTACTAGCCAGCGTCCAGTAGAAGACAAAAGGTCCACCCAAGAAGGGAGTTTGAATAGGATGCATTTAATATAAAAATCGTCTAGTGTAGGTAGATGAATTGCAAAGCAGGGGTGAAGATGATGCTGAAAACTAACAGAACAACAGATATAGGAAGCAGCCGCTATTCCCCACATTGGGAGAGTATCCGGAAGAGACCCCTTGGGGATTGAAATTTGTTAGACCTTTTTGAGAGGATGTGGGTGTGGCCTCTGCATGGTGAGGAAATTCACAAAGGTACCTGAGGCTGGTTCTGACAATTAGGAAGCTATTGGCCCAGTGGCAGCAAACCCGGCTGGAGGGCGTGCACCGCTGGGTACCATACAGTGGGCAAGAAGAAGGAACATCTCGGGCCAGTGAGAGGAGCCCCTTCCTCCTGCAGTGTCCCCTCGTCCCCCAACTGCCAAAGCCACCACCTTTAATCTGGAATCTCTTCTAAGTGGTCCAATGTCAGTGAAGTGAGTTCATATTCTGCCTTTGTTTGTCTAATGTTCTAGGTTCGTGAACATTTCACATACATACCTACGCAGCTGGGGAATGTCTCCCTCAACCACAGAATATTGCTCCCCGTATCTGCTATTCCCATACTCTTCAGAGTTCTCCAGATTACAGTCAGTAGTTATTTCCTTTTTCCTCGTTAATTATTCGTATACAATCTCTCATTAAAATTATTGGTGGAAATTCTGGCTCCTACAGGGAGATATATGTCATATAAATCTAAAAATCTCGTAGTTCTCTTGAGGAGTCAGCTGCTTCATCCAGGGTCCTAGTATTTACTTCCCCCAAAGGATACTGGGATTTCACTCTAGGCATGAATCTAGCAGAAACGGGGTGGTTATGGTGGGACTAGAAGAAAATGAGTATCCTCTTTCAAGGCATTTTTTCCAGGTGAAGTCATCACAGTTTTTAAGCAAACATTGGGGCATCTTCTCAGTTACAGGAGGTCAAGCGGCATCCCTGGAGAGGAATAATACTCCGGGTGACTTGAGGACTCAAGATTGTCTGTTTCAGGCTAGGTGCGGTGGCTTACACCTGTAATCCCAGCACTGTGCAGGGCCAAGGTGGATGGATCACTTGAGGTCAGGAGTTTGAGACCACCAGCCTGGCCAACATGGCGAAACCACATCTCTACTAAAAATACAAAAATTAGCCAGACATGGTGGCGCATGCCTGTAATCCCAGCTATTCAGGATGCGGAGGTAGGAGAATGGTTCAGACCTGGGAAGCAGAGGTTGCAGTGAGCCAAGATCACGCCACTGCACTCCAACCTGGGTGACAGGGCGAGAATCCATCTCAAAAAAAAGAAAAAGATTGTCTGTTTCACTGGAGTCCGATCAGATATCACCATTTCAGGTCTCAGGACACCAGTCCATTGCAATTAACAAGAACTTTCAGAAAATATATGATGAGAGTGAATTCACCGGGCGTTGTAATTCAGCCACCTACACAATTATGTGAAATTTTTTGTTAAGCATTCAGCAATATGAACTCTCAATGTGAAAAATTCTTCCAAGGCTGGGATCGAACCTCTCTGGTTCTCATATTATGACTTGAGCTTATGGTTGAAGGACTTGTCCTTGGTTTGTTGTTTGTTTGTTTCGTAAGACTTCCACTGCACTCTTGGGGGGAATCCATGACACACCACCGTCCTTGTCATCATTATTTCTGCCATAACAGACAGGTGCCAGAATCTTGGCCACTATGGCAGAAATAACTCCCAAGACACTTGCTTCAGTTTACCCTTCAGGACAACGAACAGGTGATAGCTTGATGGCCTTGATTATTTTAGTAATCCAAGCTGTGGACTCCTGAGCTGCTGTCTCCTGCTGGCATGGCCTCAGCAGCATGTCACAGTCAGCTCACTACACCCATTGCCAGATCCTATCATTGAGGGCCTGTCCCCGTCTGCTGGGACCACCCATTCTTGAAAGGTGTCTCGTTAGCGTCCATCCAGGATCCAGAATTTCCACCAATCACTTGAAAAAGAAAGATTGACCGTAAATAACTACTAATTAGTTTAAAAAAAAAACAAAAACCCAAAACTACTTACTGTGATCAAGGTAACTGGAGAAGGCAGGAATAGCAGATTCAGGGAGCAGATACTGCTTCTGGGGCTGAAGGTGACAACTGCGGGGAGGAGTCTGCTTGGAAGTGGCCCCTCCCCAAGGCTGAGAGTCAGTCCCCATTGGAGAGGATGGGGCTGTGACCACAGGGCGGCCAGAAACTTCTGGGAGGTGGCTCAGGCCAGGCTGCAAACAGGAAACAGGTACCAGCAAAACATGCCAGGAAGCCTCGCTCTGGGAGGCCAGTATAAATCGGCGGGCCATTTGCTAGGATACAAGATAAGCTTGCTGTTGGGCTGCTAGGGAAACTCGCCCAGGGATGTGCGCCCCTGGGTCCCCCACACACCAGTGGCAAGGAGACCTGGGACTTCCTCCTGCTGTGTCCCTCCTGCATCCTCTACTGGCAGGCCCAGCACCATTCCCGCTGGTAAAGGAGGACCCTCCAAAGGCCCAGCCCCAGGATCACCAAGGCGGAGCTAAACACAGGCTGACCTGGAGTTGATCCTTAACTGATGATTGGCACAACATGGAGCCTGAAATCATTCATTTCATTTTCAAGGTCTCAGACTTTATGACAGAGCAAAGCCTCTAGCCATAAATTGCAGAAACGCTTCATTGACCACGGATTACCTTGGTGGGGTAAGAAGAGCAAAGCGTCCTTTCCTTGTAAGTGTCACGTGTGGCAGCTCAGAAAAAGTAGCAACATTATTTTTTACTTTTTGTTTAGCCGAAGTTCATACCATCACAAAGGCAATATGAGAAACAATTCCCTGGACTTAACAGTTAGAAGAAAAATGAAGGTACATTAAAATTAATTTGTGTTCTTTAAAGAGTGAAAGCAAGGCATTTTTTCCAAATGTTTGGAAAATTAGTAACTATGGATTGAGATTGAATCCATAATGCAATCATGGATTGAAGTATGTGGGCTCTCAGTTATGTTAGTGGTAAAATTACTGATGCCAAGAAGAAAAATGAAAGAAAGAGAGGAAGGAAGGAAGGGAGGATGGGAAGGAAAGAAAGAGTCTCTTACAAATGTCCTCTATCTGGAATGACTGAAGGTAGGTAAGGTAAATATGAGTATAGTGATTTTGTAGCTATATAAACCCTTGAAAATAAAGGTCAGGGAATTTAGTTAAAAAGAATTGTTATATAAGTTATAATTCTTTGTCTCAATTTTTAATGATTAGTTTAAGTTCAGTTTTTGAATATTTTTCAAGTTGTTTCAATAAATATTTTCTAGCACTCACATGCGCCAGGCACTGTGGTAGATACCGGGAACGGAATAGAGATGGAAACGTGACCTGTAAGCAGGAAGGCTAGCAACTCTCAGAAAGGCCAGCTTCTATATTGGGAAAAATACCAGGTAACTTAGCAGCACAGGAGAGTGAGTGACTCATGAGTTGAAATTTCAGTGACAAACCCAGCTAAAACATTCAGCCCCATGCTTCAGGTGCAGACTTTCTCTGAAAGAGCCCGAGGACTTCTTAACACACAGAAAATATTCTTTCTAAGGGTACCATCTCTCTCAATGCCAAGTTACTTTTCTATTGGTTTTTCTTGTAATTTAGAATATATGACTCCTAATTGTATTCATTATCACCTGTGCCCAGGGGTTTGGCATATGTAATATTTCACTGGGAACATTTATGAATTGGGAAGGATTCTCTACCACTGATGAGTGCAGATTTTTAAATTAATATTAAAAACAGTAATGACCCCTGAAGTTCCATCTCTTGTTAATTGATTCTTTAGCAATTGATGTTTGAACAGGAACTGTCAGGTTCAAGTCCAGGTTCCAGCCCATGCTGATGTCCAAGGGAAGTGGACAGATACATGGCAGATATCTGAAGGACACCCAGGGTGGGGCACAGGTGGGTGAAATATGGCTTTATTCAGCAGCTCTCTCTCTCTCAGCAGCAGCTGTCTCACAGTTTGCTCTGTTCTGGCTGCTTGGTCCAGCCACTCCCATGCACAGCTGCACAGCCAACTCTGCCTTGCCTTCAGGGTCAGCAGCTTAACTCTTTCTCTCTCTGTGCATGAGCAAACAGAGCTGTGTCCTGGCTACCCTCTGTCCAACTGCAAAGACAGACAGTTCTGGCTATCTCTTTGTCTTTCTCTGGGTGCAAGTATGCCTGATATGGTTTGGTTGTGTCGCCACCCAAATCTCAATTTGAATTGTATCTCACAGAATTCCCACTCGTGGGAGGGACCCAGGAGGAGGTAATTGAATCATGGGGCCAGTCTTTCCTATGCTAGTCTCATGATAGTGAAGAAGTCTCACAAGATCTGATGGGTTTATTGGGGGTTTCCGTTTTTGCTTCTTCCTCATTTTCTCTTCCGCTGCCATGTGAGAAGTGCCTTTCACCTCCTGCCATGATTTTGAGACCTCCCCAGCCATATGGAACTGTAAGTCCAATTAAACTTCCTTTTGTTCCCAGAGTCAGGTATGTCCTTATTAGCAGCATAAAAATGAACTGATACTGTAAATTGGTACCAATAGAGTGGGGGCATTGCTAAAAAGATTGCCCAAAATGTGGAAGCAAGTTTGGAACTGGGTAACAGGCAGAGGTTGGAGCAATTTGGAGGGCTCAGAAGAAGACAGGAACATGTGGGAAAGTTTGAAACTTCCTAGAGACTTCTTGAATGGCTTTGGCGAAATTACTGATAGTGATATGAATAATAAGGTCCAGTGTGAGGTGGTCTCAGATGGAGATGAAGAATTTTTTGGGAATTGGAGCAAAGGTGACCCTTGTTATATATTAGCAGAGAGACAGGCAGCATTTTGCTCCCACCCTGAAGATCTGCAGAACTTTGAACTTGAGAGAGATGATTTAGGGGCATCTGGAGGAAGAAATTTCTAAGCAGCAAAGCATTTGAGAGGTTACTTGGGTATTGTTAAAGGGGAAACAGAGTGTGAAGGTTCAGAAAATTTGCAACCTGATGATGCAGTTGAAAAGAAAAATCCATTTTTTGAGGATAAATTCAAGCTGGCTACGGAAATTTGCACGAGAGGCAAGGAGCCTAATGTTAACCCCCAAGACCAGGGGGAAAACATCTCCAGGCCATGTCAAAGATCTTCAGGGCAGCCCCTCCCAGCACAGGCTAGTGGCCCAGGAGGAAGAAGTGGTTTTGCAGGCTGGGCGCAGGGTCTGCATGCTGTTTAGAGTGAACAGGTCCACCCTCTGAAATGTGTGGACATGAGATTCGGCGGGGCCAGGGGCAGAATGATATGGTTTGGCTTTGTCTCCACCCAGCCTGGAAACTTGGTGCCCTGTGTCCCAGTTGCTCTAGCCATGGCTGCGAGGGCCTTGCAGAGCTTGTGGTGTTGAGCCTGCGGGTACACAGAAGTCAAAAATTGAGGTTTGGGAACCTCTGCCTAGATTTCAGAAGATGTATGGGAATGCCCAGATGCCCAGGCAGAAGTTTGCTACAGGGGTGGGGCCCTCATGGGGAACCTCTATGGCAGTGTGAAAGGCAAATGTGGGGTTGGAGCCCCAGCGTAGAGTCTCTCCTGAGGCACTGTCTAGTGGAGCTATGAGAAGAGGGCCACCATCCTCCAGACCCCAGAATGGTAGATCCACTGACAGTTTGCACTGTGAACCTGGAAAAGCCACAGACACTCAATGTCAGCCCATGAAAGCAGCCAGGAGGGAGGCTGTACCCTGCAAAGCCACAGGGGTGGAGCTGCCCAAGACCATGGGAACCCAGCTTTTGCATCAGCATGACCTGGATGTGAGTCCTGGAGTCAAAGGAGGTCAAATTTTGAAACTTTAAAATTTGACTGCCTTGCTGGATTTTGGACTTGTGTAGGCCCCGTAACGCCTTAGTTTTGGCCAGTTTCTCCCATTGGAACGACTGTATTTATGCAATGCCTATACCAGCATTGTATCTAGGAAGTAATGTGTTTGCTTTTGATTTTACAGGCTCATAGGTGGAAGGGATTTGCCTTGTCTCAGATGAGACTTTGGATGGTAAACTTTTTAGTTTATGCAGAAATGAGTTAAGACTTTGGGAGACTGTTGAGAAGGCATGACCGGCTTTCAAATGTGTGGACATGAGATTTGAAGGGGCCAGGGGTGGAATGATATGATTTGGCTGTGTCTCCATCCAAATCTCAACTTGAATTTTATCTCCCAGAATACCTGCATGTTCATGGGGGGACCCATGGAGAGGTTATCGAATCATGGGGTCCAGTCTTTCCTGTGCTATTCTTGCAATAGTATGTAAGTCTCATGAGATCTGATGGGTTTATCAGGGGAGTCTGCTTTCGCTTCTTCCTCATTTGCTTCTTACTGACGCTATGTAAGAGGTGCCTTTCACCTTCTGCCATGATTCTGAGGCTTCCCCAGGCATGTGAAACTGTTAAGTCCAATTAAACCTCTTTTTGTTCCAGTTTTGGGTATGTCTCTATCAGCAGTGTGGAAATGAACTTGTACAGCGCCTATACAGTGTCAGCAGGGTAATTATATGTTTTACAGACAACAGTGACGTAGGACCAAGGCATGGCCTTCCCATGTTATGGCTACATGGCTGTGATAACAAACAGAGTTATATGCCTGTGCTCTAAACTCACTGAGTCACCCTGGATGTTTACCTGGGCCTATCCTTGACCAAAGCACAGCCATGGTCCTTACAGGAACACAAAATCTTATTCCTGTAGTCTGGAGACTAAAGGAAAAGAATCATCAGCAAAGTCTACTGAAGAATATGCCTGCAGTAAGGGTTTTTTTTTTTTCAAACTCTGAATAATTAAAACTAAACGTACTAACAAGATAATTTGAAGTCTTGAGGACCTTAAAATTATAAGCATTCTTAGGTAAGTAAAAAATCTGAAATATATGACTTGCTCTGTTCAGATAAAGTAATATATTTACATGGTTATAGAAAATATAGTACACTCAATATGGTGAGGTAAGAAACTCAATTTGTCTTGGGAGAAAATGTTAAGATACCGAATATTTTACCATGTTAAGCTACTTTTTTGTTTGTTTGGGTTTTTTTAAAATAATATATTTGGAGTGGTCGTTTGGAAATCTGTGCAGACTTGCTAAAGTATAGAAAACCACTTTGCATATAAAGAATAGCAGAAAAAACTCTAAATGTTACCATATAAAATTTTAACTGTGAATTATATTTTATGTAAAGTCATAAATTGGGATAGAATAAGAACTATGCTAGTATTGCAACACAGAATGCTATTTTGTAAAAGGAACAGGGAAAATCTTTCCTTTGTCTGGCCTGAATTTAATGACTTGTTACCAAGAGGTATATGGGAAATCTTGGGCAATGGACATATGTTTGTGCCATATCCTAAACGAAATGATGTGAGCCATGCCTGATAAATTTTATGGAGCCCATTAGGGAATGTGGGAGCAATGGTAACAATTCATGTGACTGATTTCTGAAGAGTGCAAGCAAATCTATCTTTGTGTTGAAGCTGAGATGGACCAGGGGTGAAACAGGAATGCTCAGAGGTGCTATGCTGATGAAGGGCCCTTGGAAGCGAAAACGTGGAATAGCCATATTTAATGCAGTCAACCTACTGAGGTTTGTAGATCATGCATTTTGTTAGAAAACAGTTTCTGGAAAGAGAAAAATCAACCTGTAGTCATTAGCTCAGGCCTTGATTAAAACATCGTAGTGTGAGATCTCCCAGATGAGTTTCTGTAGAGAACAAGGAGGTTAAAGAGGGTATGGAATACATTGTTCAAAGTTCAGCTTATTTCCTGAAGAGTTATTTTAGAATCTTTGAAGGCATCAAATACTTCTATTGGATTAGAAACAAGACCGAATATAGGGCAGCCAGTGCAGAGGTGAGGCATGGGTTTACAGCCACTGACTAGATATTGTGGGTTTAGCAAAGGGGTGGGGAGAGGTAGCTGGGGCCAAGGTTTTGCAAGGGTCAGCAGATGGTTTTCAGAACATTCATCTCCACAAATCATTTAATATATTTGTCTTAAAAAATAATTTGAGCTTTCTACCTTATTCTTCAGGGTGCTGTCTACCGTAAACTATTTCTGCATCTGTTTCCCAACTAAGATTGAAGTGAAACTCCTAATCTGCTTTTTATTTGAACAGTATATATGATGTTATATATTTTTTCTTTTTGTTAGGCTGGAGCCAATGTCCTTCTCCAGGACGTGAATGGAAATATCCCATTAGATTATGCTGTAGAAGGGACAGAATCCAGCTCTATTCTGCTGACCTATCTGGATGAAAACGGTAGGCAGAACTTCATAAAACCACAGAAAGAAATAGATTGGGAGAATTGTAAGTGTGTATTCATTTTCACAGGTCTGCTTACATGATTTCTGACTGACGCAGTTTCCCCATGTGGTATAGGAGATGGTATTTCTTCCCTTCGGCTCTCTATTGCTTTCACTGCACTGCATTGTGGTTTAGTCAACACTGGGTTTTTTTTGCAAGCCAGCAGAAATCTAGAGGCCAACAATGAAGGGAGATTTTAACAGGCATCTAAAGTCCATAATTAGTGGGACTGGGTTTGTAATTATAATCCATTCTCCCCTGGGAGGGGAAGGGGAGTCAACCAACACAACTGAATTTTGAGCTAATGAGAGCAAGGTCATCTGAAGTGGATTCTCTTAGAAGCAGGTGGTCCTAGCCAGAATTATAGGCAAGGGAGTGAGGGCTTAAGTCAAGGGCAATGTGTATATCATCCCCAGATCCACTCTTTGTGACGCTTAGAACACAAAGGGCATCAGAAGAAAGCCCTGTGGTCATGATGTGCGACTGAGAAGGTGAGACTGAGCCCCTAAATGCATTCACTGAAAAAGGATTTTTAATTATGCAAGCCCAGCATATAATTCCATCAGTAAGTGCAGCCTTGGGAAAGTGGGAGATATGAGAATCCCTGAGCCCAATATAGTATTAAACTAAAGAATTATGCCCCTCCCTTTTCCCCCTGCTGTTTAGATGTAAATAACAATAAAGAAATTCCAATCCCTTCAATAATGACCCTTGGCCAGAGAAACGTTTACAGTTTGTAAGAGCCATGCAGAGCTTATGCAGACACTCTTTTTGCTTCTAAGGAAACCTCACATCTGCCTCTTGTTCCCTTGTGCTCTCTGCCTCCTCCAGATTGCTTTCATGAGAAAGGTTCATTCTGAGGATGGCTTTGAATAATAATCATTAGTACTTAGCAGCAGTGAGTTCTCAAATAAAATAGTCTCATTCCTTGTGAAAGCAAGGTAGGTGTGGTTAGCATGATGGGATGACGTGAGCGTGGCGGAGCTGCTTAAGGTCACCAAGCGGGGATTTCAGGCAGAAGCAGGCTGGGTCAGGCAGGCAGTGCGTGCGGTTGACCATTCTCCAGCTCAGTCGTGCCTGGGCACTGTCACCTGTGGGAATGCTCGTTCAGTTTCTCCAAGCCTTGTTAGCTGTACCTTGATGGAGGCAGATTCCATTACTTCTAAAGAGAATGAAGCTTGACGTTATGCAGACTTCGCTGTTGGGAAGTTAATTATCTGGATCTTTGCCAGATTTCACATGTAGCACGCAATTCTGAATTTAGGTGAAAAACTTGGCACAATGGTGCCTATAGTTAAGAATACTGTACTGCATACTTTGAAATTTGCCGAGATTATAGTTCTCAATTTAAGTGTTCTCTTCACCAAATAATGGTAAAAATAACAGTAAAGAGTGTGGGAGGAAATTTGGAGGTGATGGATGTATTTATGGCATATAATATGGCGATGGTTTCAGGGATGTATACTTATCTATAAACATCAAGTAGTATACAATAAATATGTACAGTTTTGTATGTTGGTCATACTGCAGTAAAATGGTTTTTAAAAAAATAAAAGTGGGGATGCCAAAGTTTAAAAGATTACTTGACCATGTTTTGTTTAGCTCTGCCAGTTCCATGTTATTTCCTGTATTTTCTACGGTAATAAATGTTTCTTTTAGAAAATAAAATTATATTTATTTGCAAATGCATGCACATTGCTTATAAACCTCTCCAACTCATTACAGCATTTTAATAGGAAATTTTAGTATTGCAAGATCAGTATTTTATATCCTGTGTAAAGAATAAAATAAATGTATTCCTTTGAGAAGTTGATTTAAAAAATGAATAAGCAAAACCAAACCAAACTAAATCAATACAAACGAGAAGGTACTAACTCTTAAATGGCTAGAGAAAATCTGTCACTACTATGGCTGTCACAGTCAGCTGGTAAAATACATGTTTGCTGGAACTAACTCAATTTAATATCTCTTAAATTTTTAATTCTG